ACAGACCTGGGCGGACGAGGAACAGCTCAGGCTGGCCTGGGGCAAGCTGTGGACCTCCATGCTTCCCTCAAATCTTTGGAGCATCCAGAGGACTTTTTAACATAACTATGGTTGTATTGCACAGTTGTAGAATGATTTACAAGTTGTTGGTTGAAGAATTAATAAACAAAAATGGTATATGATTACCATTGTAGTTGATTAAGCTACCTCCTAGAATGACCTGATTATAGATGACAGTACAAAATAGATAGCTCATAAACATGTTAGTCACATTTTACAAGTGGATAGAATTTTGATTATATTTTTTCCAGGCGTCCTCAATCTATGGCTCACAGGCCACATGCGGCCCGCCGAGGACATTTATCTGGCCCACTGGGTGTTTTTGCCACAGCTGCCTGCCCTGCTTAGCATCTGACTGGTCCTGAGTCCATAGTGCACATGTGTGGAATGTGCACCACACTCTTCAACGGACCCTCCAAAGATCTGAGGGACAGTGAACTGGCCCCCTGTTTAAAAAGTTTGAGGACCCTGCATGAGACCATGTGATTTTGTTTCAAAACATTACTTTACTGGGTAATTCATGTATTCCACAGGTCTAGAAACTCGATAAGCTAACACACTAGAAATACTGCACAATCAAAGACATTTGTTAAAGAGCCTTAATGGTTTTCTTTGGGTTCATTAAAATAATTGGATTAGTAATTTTCTTTAATATTGGCTACTTTAGACTCAATAATAGAATAAACTTTATACAGTTTGGCCCTCTCTATCCACTGGTCCTGCATTTGTGGATTCAACCAACTATGGGTCCAAAATATTTTGGGGAAAAAGAAACCTCATAAAAAATAACAATATAACAAAAAATAATACAAATAAAAAAATTTTTAAATACCATATAACAAATACATAGCATTTACATTATATTAGGTAATAAGTAATCTAGAGATAATTTAAAGTATATGGGAGACTATATATAGGTCATATGCAAATATTACATATTATATAACAGACTTGAGCATCCATGGATTTTTGGTATCCATAGAGGTCCTGGTGTCAATCTCTCATGTGTACCAAGGGATGACTGTACTTACTCCCATTACTTTTTATTCACAAAATAAATACATATATGTGGATATGAATTGTATATACATTGTTTAAATGAGGTAAAATTCATATAACATAAAATTTATTATTTTTACCCCTTTAGAAAGTACAATTTAGTAGTGTTTTGTACATTCACAGTGTTCATTATGCAACCAGCACTGCTGTCTAGATCCAAAACACTTCTATCACTCCAAAAGGAAACCCCATAACCAATTACTACCTATTTCTCCCTCCTTGGGAACCACTAATTTGCTATCTGAATGTATGGATCTGCCTATTCTAGATATTTAATATAAATGAAATTGTACAATATGTGGCCTTTTGTATCTATCTTCTTAGTGTAATATTTTCAAGGTTCATCCATTATTATAGCATAATATGCATCAATGCTTCATTTCTTTTTATAGCTATATAATATTTCATTGTTTGAATATACCACATCTTGTTTATTCATTCATCTGTTGGTAGACATTTGGATTTGCTACCAGTGGATGGATTATTAGCTAGTAACCTTTTGGCTGTTGTGAATAGCACTACAATTAATATATTTTTGTTTTGTTTTGTTGTCACCTGTTTTCAGTTCTTTGGATACATACCTAGGTGCAGAATTGTAGTATGGTAATTCTACGTTTAATTTTTTGAGGAATGCTCAACTATTTTCCCTAGTAGCTAAACCATTTTTACATTTTCTCCAGCAATGGCTGAGCATTCCAATTTCTCTACATCCTTGCCGTCTCTAGTAATTCCCCCCCCTACTTTTGTTTTTATTGTAGCTATTCCAGTTGATATTTTTTCCTTCTATTTGGCTTTTAGCATTTTTACCATGATCTGTTTGTGGCTTTGTTTGCATTTACCCTACTTGGAGATCATTGAGCTTCCCAAATGTATATATTATTGTTTTTTGATAGGGAAGTTTTCAGCCATTATTTCTTTAATTATTTTTTCTGCTTCTTTTTGTCTCACTTGCCTTCTGATAGTCCCATTATGTATATGTCAGTGTGCTTAATGTTCTACAGTTCTCTGAGACTCTTCATTTTTCTTAATACTTCTATATCTGGATTGTATAATCTCTATTGATCAGTCCACAAATTAATTAATTCTTTTGTCAATTCATATCTACTTTTGAACTCCTCTACTAAATTTTCCATTTCAGTTATTGCAATTTTCAACTCCATAATTTCCATTTAATTCTTTTTTTAAATCTCTATCTCTTTCTTGATATTCTCTAGTTCTTTTTTTTTTTTTTTTGGTCACATTGTCATAATACCTTCCTCTATTTCTTTAATCATGGTTTCCTTTAGTTCTTTAAGCAAACTTATAAATGGCTACTTTGGAGGCTTTGTCTGTTAAATCCAGCATGTAGTTGCAATCACAGATAGTATCTGTTACTACTTTTTTTCCCAGCATACAGATTATACTTTGTTTCTTTACATGTCTTGTAGTTTTTTAATTCAAAACTAGACATTTTATATAATACATTGTAGAAATTCTTAGAGCTGGTTTTTCCCTTCTAGTGCATGTTATCATTTCTTGCTTGCTTATCTGTTTATAGACTATTTTAGTGATGTCTATTTAGCTGTCTCCCCTGCTGCTCGCTCCCTACCCCACACATACACATGCATTCACATGGTGAATCAGGCCTCTGATGTTTCTTCTCAGGGAAAGCAGCCTTGGGTTTTCTCACAGTTACCTTGGTGTGACAGTGGTTTGGCAGGGCCCCTGTTGACTATATTTGTTTCCCTGACCACACAGGGCTGTCCAGGTCCACTAATCTAGTGCTTATTACACTGTTGTTTTCAACAATGCCCTGCAGCTTAAATTGTTCCACAGACTAAACTAATCAAAATGGTTTCCTTTGAAGGGATAACTCCCTAAATCAGTGCTTGAGATTTCTTCTGACTCCAGATGAACTCCTCCTAGTTGTCTCCTTTTTGGTTCTCTCTGGCAAATTAACTGGCCTATAGTTTAGCCTTCATATTCAGTGATTCTTCCAATCTCATTTCCCTCTCACCACAGCCTCCACTGTTTTTTAGAGTATGCTTGCCTTGAAAATGAAGTTTCTCTGGGAAGAGATTAGGAGCTATCTGTTTAGGGCCTGTTTCTCCCCTCAGGCAACGTCTCCAAGCCAGGACTTTGAAGTAAGGGGGCATTGATGCATTTCTCTCTCAGTGATATCTCTGCTCTAGAAGCTGAGCACTTGGTAGATGGGATTGGAGGGAGGCATTCTGGAAGGCATGTTACAAACCAGAAAGGACAACAGCAGTTGGTACCCTAGCAGCACCATGCACAAAGTAGAGCTTCTATCCTACCAGTGGCAACTGGATGAAAAAAGGAAGTCCTTCACCTCTTGGCTACAATCACCTGGAACTTCAACGATAGCTAGAGGCAGGATGTTGACACCCTGCCCTTCCTAAGAAGCCCTCAGGGACCTGTTGGAAGAGGGAACTCAGTGCTTTTGGCTACACCAGTTTGGGGTGCAGTTTCTGACTCCGAGTTGAGATGTAGCAGGTCTTGGTTCTAACACCACAGATACTCAATTCTCTTCCAGTCCTTTAGTAAATTTTCTTGAATAAATGTTTATTTATTTGTTCTAAGCCTCTGGGACCATTTCTAGAGACTTGAGATGGTTCTTTTTATAAATTTTCACCAGTTTTTCTGGGGAGCAGGTCCATGGAACTCATCAAGCTATTAATAACATGCTAGAAGTTTTTTTGGTTAGTAATTCCGTCTCTTTACTGGTTGTAAGTCTGTTCACATTTTGTTTTTCTTTTTGAGTTAGTTTTGGTAGTTTGTGTATTTCTGGGAATTTGTCTATTCTAGGAGGTTTACTTGTTGGTATACAATAATTCATAGTAATTTCTCATACTTTTTATCTCTAAGGTTGGTAGTAAAGTTCTTTTATTTCTGATTTTAGTTGTGAGTCTTTTTTTTATTTGCCACTACAACTAAAGGTTTGTCAGTTTTTTACAAAGATTTTTTCAAAGAACCAACTTTTGATACTTTCTTTTCCCTAGTAGTTTTTTCCATAGGATGTGGTTTTCTTCCTTTATTAATTATTCTTAAATGAAAAAAAGGATTCTCAGACTTCAGTCCCTATGTGTAATGTAATCTTGAAACCTTCTTGCCCCTGCAAAGTATACTGCTTACCTAGCTCATTCTAATTTTGCCTCTTTCTTTTATAGACCTTCCAAGTTACAAAACAAAATCATCTAGTCACTAATATCCTTACTAGGTTATGAGGAGTTATTTATGCATCCAAATGAATGTAGTATAAGAGCGGCTAACTGGGAGGAAATTTCCTAATATAGTACCTCTCAGTAAGAAGTACTTTGATAGGGATGCAATCTTAGCAGAGTACCTATTTGTCTGAGATAGATGTAGACTTTTGTGGAAATCTATATATAATTCTTACAGAGCATTGCCTGTTATATCCTATTCTGTGTTTTACTCGATGAAAACTTCTGGGGTCTGACAGATGAATGACTAGTATTTATAGTTCTGACTTTGCAGACTTTTTGGTTTTTATGAATATATCAATGAAAAGATGAAGGAAGCTGAGTCAGATATTAATTGATGTCCTTAAGTTTCTGTGACACTTTGTGATTTTATGTTTATGATCTTACTCTTAAGTTATATGTTATTTTTTTGATTTGTGATATTTTGGAAAACATGTCTTGACAAAATAATGTCTTATCTATAAATATTGTTTGTTTAGGTTTCAAGTATTATATGTTACAAAAGCTTATGATTTCATTTCTTAAAAATTATTTGAAATTCTCACGTATTCCTTTATAACCTAATTTAGGATAGTAATTGTTTTGTGACTGTTTAAATACATCTTCCATCTTGATGCTGCCAGACTTTTTGATCAGTAAATCAATTTCTTTTCTTTATAGACAAAGTACTCAACTGTGTAGGGTACTACATAAATCCTAAAAGACTGCAATAAAGTGGCAATGTCTCGAGAACCCACCCCACCTCTACTTGGAGATATGTCTACTGGTCCTATAGCAGAAAGCTGGTGTTATACACAGGTACATGCTGTAAAAATGCCTTACTTTATGTCACTTATAAAATTTATAGTGTTTTAAGAACATTATTATGAAATACTTTGGCATAGTTATTGGAAGTGTTAGAAGAGTGGACCATAGAGTGTTTAACATGTGACAGGTTAAAAGCATGGGAGTCATCATTATAAATGTGGTTTTCTGAATCTCTTAGGTTAAAGTAGTAAAATTTTCCTACATGTGGACCATTAATAACTTCAGTTTTTGTCGAGAGGAAATGGGTGAAGTGTTAAAAAGTTCAACATTTTCATCTGGCCCAAATGACAAAATGAAATGGTAAGATTTTTGTGTGATTTGGATTTTTATTTTTTGTTTTTGATGTGATCATCAGCTACTTATGGTGTGATTGTTATTGTTGTTCCTGATTGGGTATTAGTCTAATTTTATATTAGATTGGTTACATATTCCTAATAGTATGGAGAATTGTATAGAACTGTGGGGATATTGACAGAAGTGTTGTTTGTGATATTAACAAATGATTTTAGTATTGCCTCTCTCTTTTGAATGCTTCAAGTATTCCTCCATGTGAGCTTGTTGTTTTATTTTAGGTGCCTGAGGGTAAACCCAAAGGGATTAGATGATGAAAGTAAAGACTACTTGTCCTTATATTTGCTTTTAGTCAGCTGCCCCAAAAGTGAAGTTCGAGCAAAATTCAAATTTTCCCTTCTGAATGCTAAAAGGGAAGAAACAAAAGCAATGGGTAAGTGATTTGCAAACTGAGTGTAGAAGTCTCTGTGTAACTATATGCTGTGACTTCTGTACCTTTTCCTAGAAAAGTTGTTGTTTTTTTAAGTAAAATCTGTTTAACCTAAATCATTTAATTTGGCCATTATTTAATTTTAAATTACAGTGTAGAGCTATAATTGTTTTACTAAGTCTTAAACTTACTGAAACACACAAAAGTACTTAATAATATTAAAATTTAACTTCTTCATGTCCTAAAATGACATCCACCTAGAAAAATAGTTGCTGTTTGGGCAAGGTGCCTGGTTCAGTGCCTGGCATATATAATAGGTATTCAGGAAACATTTCTCTTCTCCCTTGCCTTTTTTGCCAGGTAATAAAATCTGAAGAACAATGAGAAGGAGATGGAATGCCCTGATATTTTGTCACTGGAATTTTTTGAATCATGGACTGAACACTGATTGAAAGGGCATGTTAAATTCAAAAATTATTTTAGTTCCAGGCCTATTAAATTCAGTCCAAGACTCACAAATATAGCCTACTGAAATATTGTAGCCCAGAGCTTCATAATAGAACAGTATTGCAGGAAATGTACATTGTGCATAGTAGGAAAATATCTCATGAACTGCCAAGTTAAATTTTAAATATTTTTTAGAAGTGAATCACAAAATCAAATAACTTGATTACAAAAAAACCTCCACACACGTTTTTAAATAATATCTTTTACTGCCAAAATAATACATATTTTCACATTGTCTCACCTTTAAGATAGTGGAGTGTACTTCATTTAGATTTATTACTGGCTTTCTTTCCACCTTTTATTCTTTATATAACAGATGGTGAATACTTTCTATGGAGGATCTTGTTTATTTCATAGTATATAGTTGTTGGACAGTAACTTAGACATTTGAAACATTTACTTCAGATATTTGTTAAATCTTTCACAAATTATACTAACAACATGTTTTGGACTTCAAATGGAAATTTTTTTTAGAGGGGAGGGGGTTATGTCCAGAGATTTAGGAATGATAAAGATTTCATTTAGTTTTTTCACCAGTTAATGGATTTTTCTTAGTTGAGTAAAACTTAAATCAGGGGGTGGATGTGCCATGAAAGCTTAAAAGATGTCTTAATGACTTAGAGCATCCATTTTTATAGGGAGAAGTGGGAAATGAGATATATGTTTCTTACCAGATTCTGATGTTAGATGATGAGTAGTATGCCTATACCAACATACTTTGATCCTATATCATTGTGTTTTAGGACCTAGGTTGTTAAGATCTCTTCCTTCTCCTTGATCTGGCTTTTCTACTTAGAGATTCAGAAGTCTGAAATTCAGCTCATTGACAGTGGCCAAAATTTGAGTAACCATGTGGACTGATCTGTTTCTATCTAACTTAACTCTTTTAATATTTTATTTATGAACACAAATATCTGTAATTTTATAATGGATTTATTGTTCAACTTGTGTTTCTGTATATTTTATTTAACTGGGTTATCATTAAGAAACATGTCTCTTGGATACTTGTTTTATTTAAACTACTGTTCTGTTTTCCACCAGAAAGCCAAAGAGCGTATCGATTTGTGCAAGGGAAGGACTGGGGTTTTAAAAAATTCATTAGAAGGGATTTTTTGCTTGATGAAGCTAATGGTCTTTTACCAGATGACAAGCTTACATTATTTTGTGAGGTGGGTACTCTTTTTACTCTAGGGAACTCCATGGTTACATTTAGTGATATGGCAAAAGTATAAACTTGATTAATATTGGGTATACTTTAAAAATTAAGTAATTGGTATAATTTGATCAGGTTTCATTTGTAAATTATTGATCAGAAAAAGCTGACAAGATTGTTTTAGAAATCAATATAGTGGCCCAGTCTGAAAAATTTTTGTCATATCTCTAGCTAAAAATTATATGTGCAATTATGCTACATTTGTAAGTATTATCTTCTTAATAACTTGCATAAATGGTCAATTTTTTTAAATTTTCAGATTGATCATATTAAACATTATTTCTTAGAGTTTATCAGCTTGAATCCAAAAGTTAGGAAGCTTTCTATCCAGGCAATTGAATTAATTTAATCAAATGGCATTCTAAGAAATAGTTCTCAAGTTTTTAAGATATGCCCATGTCTGTTGACAAACTTACGAGGTATATTTATATACATAAAATGATATACTTTGAAAGTTGCTAACATTGCTTCTGCCAATAATTTATACTTATTTGTTTTAATTTGAGGTTTGGATTTACTTTTGTCATTGTTACTGTTAAGTACTTTTACCTTTATGAATTTTTAAGAATCCTCTTTGGAGTGAATTCACAGATGATACAATTGATAGAGAATATACATAAGTAACAGTTTTATTGAAATGTTTAAGGCAGTTGATAATTTCCATGAGAAAACCAGTTGAAAAGGTTATGATTAAGTAAACTCAAGATTAAATATATTTCAGCTGATTATCATCTCTTAGAAACATGATAACTGCTTAACTACCACTAAATTAACTTTCATCTCTTTATATTAAATGTGTAAATTTCTTGGAAAGATTACAAACTAATTGTAAGACATTATGTTATATCAGAAGAATAATTGAAATATGGCCCTGGAGACTATATAGTGCATCTTATTTTCAGCTAGACAAGTTAAATGAACTGTATGATGAATTTGTTATGAATACAATTACTTGGTTGACAAAGCACATACCACAAGTCTCTTGAAGCAGGGCTTATCATTAAATAATTTAGAAAAAAAAAAAAAACTAAAGCATTTGTTGCCAATGCACAGATATTCTAAGTAGTATTCTAAATAAATAAGTTATGCTATTTAACATTTTAGCACCCTAATGTAGAATCTTCTAGAATTTTCAACATGTTAATTTTTAAAAATGTTATCTTAGAGTTTAAAGGATCTTAAAGACGAATCCAATTTAAAAAATACTGACTGTGGCTAGTTTTTTTTTTTTTTTTTGTGAATGAACCTTTTTAGAAAATACTCGGGGTTTTTTTTTATATTGAAAAAGTATGTACAGATATTTTTCTAAGTATATTGTCCTGGAACCTAGACAACCAAGAAATTCAGAATTAAGGCTGAAATTAAGTTTAAGACCTTTTTTGATATGTATTTTTGAATACTTAGTATCCATATGCTAGATTATAGACACTAGTGACCCCCTAAAAATAGAACCCATTATGACATGCATTTTTAAGTTGGCATTGATCAGATTCATTTTTAGATCCTGAAGTATATACGTTCTTTTTAACTGATGTAGACTTTTATACCCGGGCACCATATTTAGCATAGGTGGGCAAAAAGTACTTTTAACCAACATTCTTCATGCCCTCCATGATTTCTTCCATCCCTCTCACAGATGCCCTTCCTTCTACAGCATCTCCAGCACTGCTTGCAGAAGAGGAGGAAGCATTGCACTGCCCCACCTAAAGAAACTGCCTCCTCTCCCTCCCCTGCAAGTGGTGCTGTAGACAGGTAAGGCAGTTTGCCAGCTACCCTTTTTGTGCAAAACATAGCTTAATCTTACAAGTACCATACAGTGGTCGAAGTGGCCAGACATTAACAGAGATTTCTAGCAGTGTAAACAGCTCTGCCCTCTCTCTCCCAAAGTGACATAGAAAACAGGAATTGAGGAATAAGTAGGAAAAATAAAAAACTGGTTAGATTAATTCATCTTTTGAAATCTGACAAATTTTAAATACTCTAATAGTCTACAAACCCATGCCATTCTATGATATACAGAAAAATACATATGCACAGATAAAATACAATAATGAGATTTTTAATAAAGTTAAACTAATTATTTTGAAGGATACATCTTTTTTTTCCATCCTATTTTTCTTTTGCTAAGATAGTGTCTTAGACCATTTTGTGTTGCTATAACAGAATAATTGAGACTGGGTAATTTATAAAGAACAGAAATTTTTTGGCTCAGGGTTCTGGAGGCTGGGAAGTCCATGATTGAGGCTGGATCTAGTACGGCCTTTTTTGTTGCATTATAGCATGAAAGATATCAGAATTAATTTTAATAGACCTACTCTCTCAATACAGGCATTAATCCATTTTTGATGGCAGAGCCCTCATGACCTAATCACCTCTGAAAGGTCCTACTTCTCAACACTGTTGCATTGGGGATTAAATTTGCAACATGGACTTTGGGGGACACATTCAAACCAGAGCAGATAGCCCTTCTGTTTACTTGTGATACTGGGTGGAAGTTGAGTTTTATTTTCTAAAAAAAAACCCTGGCAAAATGAAAAATTGACTACCCTATCCATTTATGTCATCAGATTTTTTAAAATAACACTTCTATATGAAAGTAAAAAAAAGTCTAAGACCCTCTACTCCAGAAGCTAACCTGATACTGGAATGTAAAAAGTTTCTCACTTTTAGAGCCAGTATGCGGGTAGTTAGGCAGTTGATTAAAGTGGCAAAATTGTAGTACTGTGCAGCTTTGGATATTCCTAGCTTTTAGAATTAGCTGGAATATTCAGATTTTTAAAAATTGGAACCAGTAGTTACCTTAGTTCCACATTAGAGGAAATCCAAATTTTCAGGATAGCCACAGAATTGATTAAATCCCTCATATGTTCATCTTCAGTCTCAGTTATGTTCTTGAGGTTGAGTCAAAAGCAAATACGAATAAGGAATGTCAAATGAGTTTGAGGCTTTACTTTGTAACATTTGACAATTTTGAGTATTGTGCACTTTTACTTTTTTTAATTTTTAAAAAAAAAGCAACTTTGACCTCAGGAAAGAATCTCAGCCTTTTTCCTGAATTTTTTATTCTAGGTTCCATTCAGTAAGAATGTTTATTACCTATATTTGAATATATGAGAGAAACTAAATTTTTATCATTTTTTTAAAATTATAGGTATCAAGAAAATAATCAGAATTCATTTCCTATCAGTTTTTAATTAGATCATTAATTTCTGCTCTATAAATAGTCCTTTGAATATTCTTTGAAATATGAACTATTAATTATTTGTCTTAGTTAAAATTAGTGGTTGCTGTGATAATACTATGTAGATAGGCGTGTCAGTGATACAAATTGTTCTGAAATATGATTGCTTATACAAAATACAAATATGACTCCAATAACTATGCCTGATAATGTCTTTTTTGAACTTTTTCTTTTATCACCTGACTTTTTGCCAAATTTTTACATTAATTACATTATTTTGAAATAGCTTAAGAGACAATAAATAAAATTTAAGAAATCCTTTTCTAAATTAATTATATCATCACATTTTTATAACTCCAGTGCATACTTTAAGTCATTGAACAGATTTTTGGTTTCTATATCATTAGGTTATAATCAGGTAAGGAGCAGTGAATTTTTTTTTCTGCTTTATAGTTATTAAAATTTTAGAGATAATTTGAGTAATTAAAAACTATTGGATAGGAGAATCTTTATTGGTACATTTATATAGGTACATAATACCTTGTCTCCCCTGTTTAGAAAAACATCTCACAAGATTGTTGTGATGATTGCTTTTTGATTATAATGTTAAAGTAATTTACTACTAATTTTAAATACCAAAAAAGTATTGTTTTGTACAAAAATCCATAAAAAAGGGAAACTGGAGATTTACATCTAGTCCTCCTTTGTTACTAACTAGCAGTGTCATTTACCCCGTCTTGGTCTCACTTTGAAATCTCTTTATAAAATAAGATGAATTTTATGATTTCTATGACACACATGATTTCAAAGTGTTAACATGCAGGTTGAGGGGGGAAATGTAATTAATAAAAATATCCTCTAAAAGATTAAGGTTTTCTAATTTGGGGGACTTCTAAGACTTAACATTTTATACTGGACCATTATTATACTTTATGTTTCACATGTTAGTAGTGTGATTTATCCATTTCTAATTTACATTTTCTACATAGTTTACTGTGTTTATGTGTGTCCTTATTTATACTTTTATTTAATAAAAACTGTATGAAATGTTTTTAAATGAATGCAGCTATCTATTGTTTCCTAACAAATGTCCCCCAAACTTAAAACAACAGATAACTAGTGTAGCATTTTTTGTTTATTGTTTTTCTAAAAGGCTCATTTACTCTGAAACATTTGCTTTACTAGTTGAGATATTATTTTCTTTAATTTATTAAAAGTAATATGAAATTTCCAGTAACATAGTAGAATACCTTTTCTTAAAGGTGATATTATACAAGCAAGATTTATCAATAGTGTTTTAGGATTTATTCAGTATGTAGTCATCTTTAATGGGAGATAATGTAATCCATATTATGTTGGAATCTACATAAAAGTACTGTAGTAATACCAACTTTACTGATTATTTCATAGGTAAATAAAAAGTATGCACATAGAACTAAATTATATTTATATTGCTCTTACTGATTTTCGATAAAAGATTTTTGTGAACTTTAATAATTGCAATTGCTTTTGTGGGAATATTTGTTCCTTAAAATTTAAATCAATTGTACTGTGTATTTAACTCAATTGTATTAGAGTTGAAACATGTAGGAATAACTCTTTAAAAATTTCCAGTTTACATATCATAGACTGTAGTTTTATAACCTTTTTTTATATTGTAAAAAGATATTAAGAGCCTTATACTATGTTTATTGTACATAGTGTAAAATATAAATGTTACTAGGTCTGAAGCATGAAAAAGGAATTTCTTCCTCTACCTTACAAAAAAGTCTTCTCTTTGTTTGAATTTACATCATACTGTGGCTTTTCTGTTGAGAACTATTTTTTGTAATTAACTTTAATAATCAAACATTCCAATCAATTGATAAGCCATTTATTTATATAAAATGTCACTATTGAAAAAGATCTATATTGTTTCTAGCTTTTTCTATATTTTATTTCTCCTTTAAATTATATCCTTAAATTCATTTCCCATATAATAGGATTTTTGATCAGGAATACATTGAATTATCATGATCTTAAACATAAAAAATTTAGACTTACTAATTACTGATATTACTTTGTGAAAATGTTTCTCTTGCTATCCCTTTTTTATTTAGGTGAGTGTGGTCCAAGATTCAGTAAATATATCAGGACATACTAATACAAATACTTTGAAGGTGCCTGAATGTCGACTAGCAGAAGATTTAGGTAATCTCTGGGAAAACACAAGATTTACAGATTGCAGTTTCTTTGTAAGAGGACAAGAATTTAAAGCTCATAAATCTGTGCTTGCAGGTACTTTCTATTTTTGTGTAATATAGTACATTTTCTAAGATAAGTTTATATGTAAAATAATGATGCTTAATCTTATTACAGCTCGATCCCCGGTTTTTAATGCAATGTTTGAACATGAAATGGAAGAAAGCAAAAAGGTAAACATGGCTTAAAGGCTAATATTTAATTTCTACAAATGTAAAATAATGTATATTTTTAAAGCAACGGTGCATGATCTCATACTGTGATAAATAGGGAAAAATTTTAGAAACAAATAGAAAGATGAGGAAAAACGTGTTGTATAATAGAATAGTAGATGTAGCTCTCTGAATATTCCAAGTAGCAACTATTTTTATGCCTCTCTGGTAAGTAAATAAATGAGTAGTTGTTATCCAAAAGGACTGTTCTGGTCCATAACTATTTGAGAGGTCTCTGGTTAAAAGATGTATATTCTCCCTTTCTAGACTTCTGGGTTGATTTTGGAATTTGTTTTTTAGCAAAAAAAAAAAAAAAAAAAAAAAATGATGTCTACATGCTTTTGATTACTGAGATAAGAGATATTTATTAGATTTAACACAATGGACATAGATTACATCAGCATTATTGTACACTAACTGTTATCTAGATATTACCTATTTGGCTCCCACAGATGATTCTCTTTCATCACCTGTCATCTTGAAATGTAGTTATATTAGATATCAGAAGCTGAGTCATTGCTGGTTGCATAACATGTGAGCCTTAGGGCTCCAATGAGACAACTCCAGAGTTTAATCATGTGGTCCAGCTTAATTATGCAGAACTAGAGGCTGCAATAAAATAACTGCTTTCTTCCTCTGATGGTTGGTCAGGGAAGATGCTGTAATCAGCCTTCTGATCACTTCCAAGTGAAGAGACAGCAGTGATTTCGGATGTTTCTGGCAGCAAATGGTCAGAAAAGTTTGCTCATGTTTAGAGTTAGACATTTAGCTTCATTGATCTCAGGAAAGAAACCAAATGCAAAGATAAAGAAATAAAAAAGCACTAGTCCTCTTTGTACTTGAGTATGTTTAAAGTAAGCAAGGAAGTGCTAGTATATAATAATACATGCCGCTTTTGCAAAAGGGAGAGTTCTGAGCTAGTGACCTCTATTATTGTCTCAAATACCTGGCCCTACCTTTTGCTTAATGCTAGGAATAGAACCATTGGTCATAGGGTCTTAGGCATTTTGTTAGGACCTAGTAATTCAACAAAGAAAAAGTTAGTAGCCATTATCCTTTAGGATATAAGTCAGAAACTGAACACAGATGCATTTTGTTTGGCCTACAGTTTTGTTTGTTTTTAAACTCTTTATTGAGAAATTGGGGCTTATATTGCCACATGGTAGCGCTTGGCTTGGTCCAAGTATCAGGGTATGGGCTCTGCAGCTGGTCATGGTTCCCATCTCTCACGCAGTATATGCTTCTTGCTTCTTACACTTGCGCACTTCACTTTGCCTAATAACTTTAATGAAGATTTACTTACCTAGATTTTAGAAATATCTGCATATGTATATTTGAGTTATAAACTATGTTAGTGTAGATTTGGGGCTTTTAAATTACTGTCAGAGATTCACTTTGGTTCATTTGTGTGTGTATGTTCTCTAAGTTTTTGTTGTTGTTGTTTTCAATATCAGAATCGAGTGGAAATAAATGATTTAGACCCTGAGGTATTTAAAGAGATGATGAGATTCGTTTACACAGGGAAAGCACCAAACCTTGACAAAATGGCTGACAACTTGTTGGCAGCTGCCGACAAAGTAAGTAAATAGGTCTTAAAGAGCTGAAAAATATCCTCAAGATTGATGTATGTAGAAAGCTATCATCAAATGAAAACTCCAAATAACTTGAAATGTTGAATTAATTTTTATTTGTAGATGGCTCTTCAGAGTTTTATGAAGTAGCATATAGTAGGATAATACGGAAATTAGATTTTTTAAAACAATCAATAATATGTAAAAATATCTTGAGCCAAGAAGAAGCCATCTTCCCCCCATGGGAGATTAAACTGAAAACTCATTAGTTTTGTGTGTGTGTTTATTCCCTTTTATAGAACACACATAATAGAATATATAATTTATTGTCATTTTCAGATATTCTTAATTTTAAGGCACAGTGCATGATCTTTTTAAAAACGGGAAAATATTGGGTATTTTATGTAATTCTCTTTATTCATAGATTTATTTTTTAATATGATAGCAGAAAAGAAAAAAAACATTAACAATTGTAATGGCGATTTCTTAAAGTTAGTGAAACCATAAAAACATCAGAAAATCTCGAAACCAGTGGTTCTCAATCCTTAAAGCACATTTGATTTATAAAGCACACATATGTGGATAGCATGTAGATAGATGGATTATGTCCTTGTGTATATGTATATACACACCACTTGAAAAATGTTACCATCAGGGGAAACTGGACCAAGTATACATGGATCTATTATTTCGTAAAACTACTTGAATCTATAACTATCTCAATAAAAATTTAAATTAAAAACACCATTTACAATAGCATCAAAACTATGAAATACATTGCCATAAATCTGACAAAAGATGTTTAATATTGAAAATTATAAAATAATGCTAAAAGAAATTCAGGAAAACCTAAATAAGTGGAAAGATATATCTTGTTCATGGATTGAAAATCTCAAATTGTTAAAATGTTGATTCTCTTTAAAATTGGTAGTATAATCAAATTTCCCTATCAAAATCCTAGCGGCATTTATTTTTAAGAAGTTGACAAGCTTATGTAAAAATGTATTTGTAAGTGCAAGGATATAGAATGATGAAATAATTTTGGAAAAGAAGATTAAAGGACTAACACTGCCTGATATCAAGACTTTCTATAGGACTTCAGTTATTAAGACAGTGTTATATTAGTGTCAAGATAGACAAATATAATGAAATAGAAAGTACAAAAATAGACCCTCATATTAATATATGTGGATATTTAATTTTTGACAAAAGTACAAAGCCAATTCATTGGAGAAAGAACAGTCTTTAACAAAATGGTGTAGGAATAATAGAATACCCATATGTGCAAAAAATGAACTTTGATACATACCTAACACCATATATAAAAAATAATGCAAAATCAATCATGAACCTAAAAATTTAAAACTTCTAAAAGAAGACTTAAAAGAAAATCTTTGTGATGTTGAGTCAGGCAAAAATTTTTTCACTTTGACGCCAAAAAACCTGATCCATAAAAGGAAAAACTGATAGAATTAACTTTAATCCAATTTTAAATTTTTTTCTCCAAAAGACACAGGAGAATAAAATATTTTCCCAGTGAAAATCTAAGGAACAACTTTTATCCAGAATATATCTGACTATTGTTTTCAGACTATATAAAGAATTCCAAAAACTCAATTATAAGAAACATTATTTCAAAAATGGACAGAATGTTTGAGCAGTTTCTGAAATAATGTCAATGAAATACATTAAAAGATACTCAACAACATATCATAGTCTTTAGGAAAATGTAAATTAAAACTGTCGTGAAATACTTGTATATACCAATTTAATGGCTAAAATTACAAAGACCATACTAAGTGTTGTCAAGGTTGGTCATGCAAGAATTAGGACCCTCATACACTGCTAATGGGAAAGTAAAACGGTACAACCGCTTTGGAAAACCATGTGGCAGTTTCTTAAAAAGTTAAACTTAACCTATGAGCCAGTGAGTCCACTTTTAGGTTTTTAGGCAAGAGAAAAGAAAGCATATGCAAAGACTCATACATGAATGTTCTGGCAGCTTTATTGGTAATAGCTAAGAAATGGAAACAAACCAAATGTTCAACAACAGGTGAATGGATAAATACATTGTGATATATCTATATATGATGGAATAAAAAGGATTGAACTTGATACATAAGCAGTGGGCATGCATGATTCTCAATCATACTGAATGCTAGAGCCAGATAAAAATGAGTATACATTGTATGATTGCCTTTATGGAAAACCAGACAATGCCAATTAATCTATAGTGATAGAAGGCTATATCAGAGGTATTGCCTAGGGTGGGGTAAAAGGGAAGGACGACAAAAGGGTAGGAGAAAACTTTTGGGGGATGATTAGTATATTTACCATTAATATCTTGAATTGATGATTTTATGGGGGTATGAACTTCTCAAAGTGAGAACTTTATGTGCACTTTACTGTATATCAATTATACCTCAGTAAATCTGCTAAAGATGTTATATAACATATATACTAAAATACAAGAATTTTTAGTGGTTGTGAATATGATTTTTTTAGCTTTATAATGAATTCATTCTTTAAGACTGAGTGGTGGCAACTTGCATTGTACTGGGTGATATATTCTTGTGTTTTAAATAGTAGAGAAGAGAAATATACTCATTAAGAATATTGAGTAATAAGGTGGGTTTTTTTTAGCATAAACCCTACATTAAAAATACCCCGTTTTACAGTTATGCAAATTGGAATTCCCTAAAGAAAACTAGTCTTTCTCCTGAGTGCATTCATTTATATTTTCTTTATATTCATTTATATTTTCTTTATTTTTTCTTTCTTCTTAAAACAATGACTTAGAGAATTTTAAAATAACCTTTGTTAAAGATAATTTGCTTTAACTTTATTTTCTAAGTTACAAATATATCGTGTATTTGGAATCTTAGAGTAAATGTTTAATGGTTGTTTTCTTTTTGTATAGTATGCACTGGAACGGCTGAAGGTCATGTGTGAAGAAGCTTTGTGTAGTAACCTCTCAGTAGAAAATGTTGCTGATACCCTTGTCCTTGCAGATTTGCACAGTGCAGAACAGTTGAAAGCACAAGCCATAGATTTTATAAATAGGTAAGCTATGCTTATAATTTCAGTTGGCATGACACCTTCAACATTTTTTCACTGGACTTTTTTGTTAAATGTGTTTAAATCTTCAATGCAGGTGCAGTGTACTTCGACAACTTGGGTGTAAAGATGGGAAAAACTGGAACAGCAAGTAAGATGACATCAGTTTCTGACTTAAAGTTGATCTGCTTAAATGAAATTGTTTGCATAGGCTTTTGTTCATTTAAAATAAGTATGAATTCAGGCATTAATTTATGAAGCAAACTGCCAGTTATTTTAAAAAAATTTGACTACTGAGTGGCTTCCTGAGGCTATGCTCCCTAGTAGATCAGCTTCTCATACTCACTGTGACAATGCTCTCATTTCTTAAGCACATATGCCATATGATACATAGCCAAGTCCAAGTATTATAAGGACTGTTAGAGATCTAGCCCTTGCCCCTTCAGAAAGCATTTCTAAAAATGTGGGAAAGCCAGTCGCAGTGGCACATGCCTGTAATCCCAGCTACTTGGAAGGCTAAGAGGAGAGGATCATTTGAGCCTAGGAGTTCTAGAATTGTCTGGGCAACATAGTGAGGCCCTATCTCAAAATATAAATAAATAAATAAAAATTAATATGTGAGAAATAGTAATTTAATCCTATAAGGAATGTACCCTTCAGATTTGCTTAAAAAGCCTTTCTATTTGAAGACTAAGTCACTGCTTCTTAGCCCAAGTAGCTTGCATCATATGCTGTATTAGCCTAGCTGGCTAATATTCCAAAAGTGGTAACAATTTGATCTTTCCTTTTCCCTGGTAAACTTATAACAGTTGGGTAGTTGCTATATCTTTCTAAGCCTGGATCTTCTGAATATATCATTCCCTACTTTTTTTCCCTTCCCATTTTTAGCAACTTTTCTATTTTTTGTAATTGAAATTAAAAAGGGAAGGGTTGACAGGTTGAAGATTTTGCATCTACCTTTATTAGTTTTGCCTATAAACCCTTAAATTCCATTTTCCAAAATTATCAAAAGTTGATACAAGAAAGTGAAAAAAAGAATTGTGTTAAAGACAATGAAATAAATTATTTTGTTGACTTAATTATTTCCTGTGGCTTTCATCTGTTTTGATATATGTAAAGTTGGTTAACTAAATTCCTGAAGGTTGTGAATTTTGTTTTCTGAAAGCAAAAAGTAATGATTACTTCAAAATTACTGGTTGTCCTATATATTAGTCAGTATATAAAATCATGATAATATGATTTCATTATGGTATGTGATCCTAGAAAAAAGACTTTGAATTTAAAATATACTTTGTTAGCAGCAAATGACAATTTCGTAATTGTTTGTACTTATCCACTTTCAAACTCTAGTTTTACTCTGTTAAGGAAATACTTTACATTGTATAACTTTTTCAATGGCAAAAAAATTAGCTTATTTTATACTTCCTGGAGAAGCTGTGTTGTATATACAGACATTTAATAGCTAATTATTGAATTAATAAATGAAAAGCTCAGGTATATTAAGAAGTAACTAAAGAAGTATCCTTGTGATTCTAAACAACTAGTTGAAATTTTAAACATAGTGGCACACTGGTAATTTGATGTTTGTCAAATTGAAAAATTGCTTTATTGATATTAGCTACTATTAGTTCAACAAATATTAACCGTGTATCTATTGTGTCTCAAGCACAAAGGTAGGGTGTTACATATAAAAAATTTCTTAGAGAAAATCTTGCTCTTCAGGAATTTATCTAGTGGAGATAGATATATGATTATATGTCAACTCATTATAATATAATAAGTAATATGATAGAGGAGGCTATGTTCAGGCACTTGACTAAGAATAAGACTAGAAATTTAGGAATGGCTTTCAAGAGATGACTAAGCTGAGTCTTAAAACATTAATAGGAGTTAGTAAAACTAAGAAGGAAGTAGCCAACGTTACAGACAGAAAGTATAGCATGATCCAAAGTATAGAAGAATAAAGTAGTAGTTGATCATACATTTGGCAGGTACTTATATTTTACTATCTAATAAATTCCCAAGGCAGTTTACTCGATATAGTGAATATAGTGGTGAGTAGCACAGATCTCTTCTTTGCCTTCATGGAGTTAATGGTTTACCAGTAGATTAAACAGGCAATTGCAATAAAGTATGAGAAAGAATGTGTAGCATATCCATAAGAGCATATAGCAAAGGGACCTAACCTAATCTAGGGGTCAGAAAGTGTTTTCAAGAAATTGTTGTAAAACTGAAGGCCAGGAATATTGGTAGGAAATACCCTGGTGAAGAAGAGGGAAGAGAGGAAGAAAAACATATCCCACGAAAAGGATATTCAAAATATTGTTGATGAGAAAAAGCATTATAGAGTGTATGTGAGTGTGAGAGAGAGTGTATGTGTGAGAGAGAAATAGAAAAAGAGAGGAGAGGGAGGGGGGTCGGTTGGAGAAGCAGTTGGAGAAAGCAGGCAGAGGTCAGATCTTGGAAGGCTATGTAAAATAACATTAGGTTTTTAAATGTTATTGGAAGAGTAATGGGTGTCTAATAAAGGGTTTTCACCTAGGGAGGGCCCTGATAAGGTTTGCATTTTTAACAGTCTTTCCACATGCAGGGTAGAGAATGGATTCTGGGGAGTTTGGGGTGACAGTATTAGCTGAGGAACAAGGTTAAATGCAGGTAGACCAGTTGGAAAATTATTGGAGTTGTTCAGGCAAAAGAGTGAAATTAAACTTGACTGGTGACTATGTGACTAGACAGAAATGAAAGTATGTGAGAAATATTTTGAAGGGAGAATACATAATATATGGATATTATTTGGGTGGCCGGTGGTATAAGGGAGAGAAGAGAAGAGGCAAGGATGGGTAGCTAGATTTGTTGCTTAAGCAATTATTTGATTGCTCAGCGAAGGCATGTTGTACACAGGCGAATTAATAGTTCAGTATCAGAGTATAAAATGCCAGCGCATGGAAGTGGGAGATAGAAAGCTAGAGAGGGGAAGTAGGGAACCAACCATAAGGAGCTGTGTTCCTCTTTCTAAAGGGCTTGGATATAGATAATGTGGAATTAAAAGAAAGGGGTATGATAACAGTCACATTTATGTTCCTAAGGTAGCATTATGGAAGCTGGCTTTGAGAGAAGCAAGATAGAAGACTAGAAGACAACTTAGGAAATTGTTTTAACAGTCCAAATGTGAGATGATATGTGCCTTACCCAGGGATTCAAGACATATTTTTGAGCCTTTCAAGTTTTAAGCTAGGGTTTTGATGATTGGAGAGGACAGAGTCCAGGGTATTTCCCCAGTTTTTAACTTGAATCACAAGGCGATGGTGGAAGCTTCAGCTAATTGGAAATGTGTAGGGAAGAACTGGGGCTTGGGGTGACAGATGGTGAGTTCTCATCTGATAATCCTGAATATATGGGTCTTGAGACACGTCCAAGTGAAAAGAGCAGGTGGTTGGAAACAAACCTTTTGGGAGGCCTAGGATTTAACAAACTAATAGTTATCATCATTGAATATGATAGTTAAAATTATGAAGAGTAGATGAGGTAGAATGAATAATGCATGTTAAAGGAGAAGAGAGGATAAAAGTTTGAACTTTAGAGAAAACTTGCCTTAATATAGAGGTAGTTAAAAGAAGAGAAAGGGGCTCTTGAAAGAGCTGGTACAGAAATGGTAACAGTGAGTGACACCAGTTTCACATACTTTGGGGAGTAGAACTTCCAGAAAAATTTAATAGTTGTAACAGAAAATGGCAGTCAGATAAAGATGATATTTTAATAAAGTCAAATGGTTTGAATACACAAGAGAGGTAGACAGTGTTCAAACATTTTGAAATAGACAAATTTATTTAAAAAAAAGTAGCAACGCATTTTGAAAAATATTCTTGAGTAAACATCTCTTAATTTTATTTTTCAGCCAAGCAACTGACATAATGGAAACAGCAGGGTGGAAGTCCATGATTCAGTCTCACCCTCACTTAGTAGCAGAAGCCTTCCGAGCACTTGCATCTGCACAGTGTCCACAGTTTGGCATTCCACGTAAACGGCTAAAACAGTCCTGAATCTTCCATGAATAGTAGAAAAATGGAATTGACTTTTACTCCTCCAGGTCCAGAAGGATTGTAATACACAAACCATAAGCAAGAGTTGTTTCTGTTATTTTGTCCACAGAACAGAAGCTGAAAAAGCATATTGCTTACATTTCAGGTGGATAATTTATGGTTTATTCTTCAGCTTTAAATTAGACTGATTAATTCACTTCAAGGCCTTAAATTATCTTTGATGACTTCTCTTGTTCATATAATACTTTAATTTTGTTATTGTGCCTTGTCATTATGACCAAGGCTATGCAGGATTGCACTAGCTCCATAATGCAGTAATATTGATAACTGAAGATAATAAGTTTCAAAAGGATCTTCCATTATTTTGAAAAAGAAAAATGAATTTTATAGGGATTGTCCTATGCTATCTCAAAGTTTAAAACGGAGGTTCTCCTTAAAAGCACTTGTTGGAGATTACCATTAATGTCTCCAGTCTGAGTTTCTATAAATATAGGAGAACCTGCTTACCTTCAAGGTAAATTATGGCAATACACTGCTTCAATTCTAATTTATTTTTCATTTCAGGGGGCAAATATGCAATGAGTTGGCCCAGATTTTTAGTAAAATTTGTGATGTTTGTATGTATATTAACTGTCCAACAAACTGTGGGTTTATCCAAGTTTACAATGATTGGGAACTGATTGAGGTTTAGATTTCATGAAGAAAGCACGTATTATGCGGAAGTAATTGTTTTTTTTAATTTATAGTGACCTACATTTATATGAAGAATTCTGTTAAAAGTAAGGATGACCAAATGTAAATTTAATGAGTGGGCCAATTAAGAAAGATATATATGCACTTTTAACGTGTAACTTTTGTATGCTGAATGGCACATATATTTTTTTGCTTTTGAGGGAATTAATAAGGTATAATTAATTATGTCTTAACTTTTGAGAGAGTTTTTTAAGACAGATGGAGGCAACTGGGATGTTTGTGATAACAGAAAAGAAAGATATCCTTGATTATAGTTAAATTGGTTTGGATTACAGATAATTCATTATTGAATTTACTCCTGCTTTATCACACTTTGGAAAAGTTACCTGAACAATAAATGAATCCCGGATAGTCTACTCTCCTTCAAACAATGAACTGATACCATTTCTCTATTGAAGATGCATACTAAAGGAGAGAACCCTTAGACTATGTCAGGCCACACTATGGACCTCCCCCCCACCTCCTTGTTTTCTCCTTTGTGTTTGAGTTGTTGTACTAACATTGTGGATGATATTGAAATTCTGCATAATGTGAACAGGATAAACTATTTATAAACTGCTTTTCATGGGCCAGTTCTTTATTATAAATGAATTTTAGCTTTAAACACGTACACATATTCAGTGTTTGATAGTTGTGTTTCTAATGGAAGTCTGTTCTGGTGCATTGTCCCAGAGAAGCAGGAGCGATCAGTGTCAGGGTACCACGTCTGACTTACTGTGATAGTGACAACATGCTTCTTAGACAACATTTGTATTTGACCACAAGGGAAGAAATGGTCACTGGAAAAAAATGCATATGCCTATAAGTTTGAATGCATAACTTTATTCTCCAGATTAAAATTTTTATAATTTGTTTATTTAATTTTTGAGTTCAGGACAAAAGGAAAAAAATGAAGCTTGAGGTTTTTGAATAGATGTTATTTTTGCTATCTCTTTTTAGGTGTTAACTGAAGCAATTCTAATATATCAAGAATGATTCATATTTACATTGAATGAACACTGTCAAATAAGTGTTATCCACAGCAAACTTTGCAGTTTGAAAAGATCATATTTTCAGATATCTTTGTTTCTTTCTGCGTAGCTTTGAGTCACTGTTGTGGTAACTTAAATTGAAATTGGAAGAATCCCTTGGGATAGAAGAAAGATTCTTACCTGGTAATGGACTTCTTCCTTTGTAAAAGTGTTATGGGAAGTAGAAATTTGACTTCCTTAACTTCACCATAAGATTGAGCCTGTTAAGTTTACAATGTACAATTTTAAAAATACACGTGCACACATACATACATATACACTTTTAACTTAAGATTTTGCCAGGGTCTTACAAGAAAATAAAAACTCCCTCAGGCTATCGAATTATGTTTGTCATCTGTCAAAAATGATATACTAATGTATCCATTTATATCAAATGCACACCATACCAGCACATTGTGAATTAATTCACTGCTTGAATCTATAGTGACTTCAGTAATACCATATAATGAACATTTCAGCTTGTTCTTACTCTATGTTTATTGCAGACCTTAAGAATTTTATTATAAAGTTTTGTTGGTTTTTTTTTTAGTTTGGTAGCTCATTTTGTACCAAAAATGTCAAACACTGTGCTATAAGAATATCCATCTTTGTAGAAATGTCCACTTTTCAGATAATATAATGCCTACCATTATACTAACAAAATCATATGGTAGTTGATTTATTTTTTTATTTATTATGTATATTTTTGGTATTATGGGTTCTTGAAGCAATGATAAAAAACTGTTAATGTGTTCTGATGTAAGTGCTCTAATAGCCTTCCCCCTCCATTTCTAAACTACATACATTGTTTTCAAAATGGGCACAGATTCTGTCCAGCCTTTTAAACTATCAGCCCATTCCTGTTTTCCCTTTATCACTTAAACAGGGCTTTTCCGTAGAAAGTAGTGAATGGTTTTAAATATTACGTATTATAAAAATAATCATTGGATAACTGTTCTTTAGACTAAGATTTAGAAACACTCTATTTGTGCCTTTTTTAATTTTAATGTGTATTGATATTTGGAGCACAAATATGAAGGTGCCATAATATGGCTTGCCAACGTTACCTCCTTGAATAGTCATGTGTCATTGTCTTAAAATTGTAATTGGAGAACCTTGCATGAATTATGTGGTCATTTGTGGTGTGTGTGTGTGTGTGTGTGTGTGTGTGTGTATGTGTGTGTGTACCTGTATTCACTTGGGCTTTGTGTGTGTTATGTTCAAAAGAGTAAATTTTTGAAAATAGGAACCAGTTAAATGTTGAAAGTTCAGGTTAGTTGAAATATTTCATTTAAATGTGCTTTATTTGGGGGGACAATGGATGACATGAAATAATTCTCAAAAATATGGTCAATTTACTGCATGATAAAATGTGAAAACAGTGCCTTTTTAGGACATCAATTATAAAATTAAGTTTTAAGATATTAACAAAAGTCTCTTAAACAGTTGTCATAAACACTATTGGTTTATTTTTAAACTAGATCTAAGTAAAAGCTTAAATGGCCAAAAGGATACTTATTAATTTATTTACCTATTTAAGTTTTGTGCTTAAATTTAAAATCTAAGCAGAATTCTTTATAAAATTAATAGACCATAGATATTACCCAGAGTTACTAAAATGGAACAGGGACTTTGTTCAGTAAGTTAAGTTTTATGAAAATTCAACTCAGCAAGCTTTGATCATAGCCAAGTATACTTGAAGAGGTGAATTATTCTGACTTGGACATGCATGCTCTTTGATGGATAAAATACTCAATGTATTCTTGCAAAAGAAGGTGGATGGGTGAGTGGGTTTGTTTTAGTGTTCTCAGATTGTAAAGATAGCACTTTCAGCACACATAAGAGTATTTTACAAACCTATTTTATACAGATTATGAGCTCTACTTTATTTAAGTGTTCATGGAATGATGTAAATTTTAGGTCCAGTTGAAAAATATCGAGTGCCTACCATATGCAAGACTTCCTCTTCACTAGGAATGAAATCACACCGTGTCTTGTTTGCAGTATGTGAACTTTATGTTTGAAAAGGAATTCTTATATTTAAATCTTTTTCTGTTGTTAATCATTGTATATTGTAACCAAGTAAATTTTGCATTCAGTTTTTAAAAATGAAGAAACAGAGTCCCATTTTTGAAAATAAAATTCTGCAAAAGTTATTTAAAAATTAAATCTGAGGGAAATTGATTTTCAAGAATCAAATGTATGAAAACTTATATTGAAATTTTCAGGCTCGTTTTTAATCAGCTGATGTTAATGATGAGGTACATACTACTTGTATCTTGTTGCTGAAAATATTTTTTGCATTTCAACACATTGAGTTAAAATAAAGTTGTTACTTATTCAGAATTGTCTTATTTTGTGTTTATTTGAAAAATAAAAATTTTTTTAGATTACTGTGATGCTTTGCAAAGGAGTGATGTATTTGTTATGATAAATTTGCATAGTGAATGTCTTTTCTACTTAGGGAAGATAATACATTTTGTAACCTACTAAAGACTTATTTCTTAACTGAGATATTACTCATTTATTTTAACGTGTGTACCATCAATATTGAGGAACTTATTCTAATGCTGCATACACTTAGAGATCAGTCTTTTCCTGTCATTCCTATTCCTCCTTAATTTCAGTTATCACAGAAAATTTGATAATTTGCTGCTATCAAAAAGCAAGTTTGGGGCAGCATATTCCTGAACCAATTTAGTAACAATAACACAATTAGTGCCTTAAAATTATGGCCAACACGGCAGTAGAAAGCCATAATGGAAAACTTTCTATGGACCCAACACAGACACACACACCTCTCTCTCACACACACATATACTGAATTCCCTTTACTGCACAGCCAAAGAAATAGTCATGAAAGTAAACAGACAACCTACAGAATGGGAGAAAATTTTTGCATCCTATGCATCCGATAAGGGACTGATAACTAGAATATACTTAGAACTCAAAAAAATCAGGAAGAAAAAAATCAAATAACCCCATTAAAAAGTGGGCAAAGGACTTGAACAGAAACTTTTCTAAAGAAGACAGAAGAATGGCCAACAAACATATGAAAAAATGCTCAACATCTCTAATCATCAGGGAAATGCAAATCAAAACCACAATGAGATATCACTTAACCCCAGTGAGAATGGCCTTTATCAAAAAATCTCCAAACAATAAATGCTGGCGTGGTTGCGGAGAGAGAGGAACACTCCTACACTGCTGGTGGGACTGCAAACTAGTTCAACCTCTGTGGAAAGCAATATGGAGATACCTTAAAGCGATACAAGTGAATCTACCATTTGATCCAGCAATCCCATTGCTGGGCATCTACCCAAATGATCCAATGACACTCTACAAAAAAGACACCTGCACTTGAATGTTTATAGCAGCACAATTCATAATTGCAAGTCTGTGGAAACAGCCCAAGTGCCCATCAATCCAAGAATGGATTAATAAAATGTGGTATATGTATACCATGGAGTACTATTCAGCTCTAAGAAACAATGGTGATATAGCACATCTTATATTTTCCTGGTTAGAGCTGGAACCCATACTACTAAGTGAAGTATCCCAAGAATGGAAAAACAAGCACCAGATATATTCTCCAGCAAACTGGTATTAACTGAGTAGCACCTAAGTGGACACATAGGTACTACAGTAATAGGGTATTGGGCAGGTGGGAGGGGGGAGGGGGGCGGGTATATACATACATAATGAGTGAGATGTGCACCATCTGGGGGATGGTCATGATGGAGACTCAGACTTTTGGGGGGAGGGGGGAAATGGGCATTTATTGAAACCTTAAAATCTGTACCCCCATAATATGCCGAAAAAAAAAAAAGAATGAAAGAAGAGTTGGGAAAACTTAAAATAGGACAAGTGTTTGGTCATATTCTAAATGTTACTAATGAACTACATGTGCACTTTTGCCTCCTCCTCTGCAGCAGCCAGCCCCTTTGATAACATTGGGATGTTTTGTCTCCTCCACCTACACCTAAAAATCATTTGTTTCTAAGAGATGGCCAAGAGTGCCATTTGCTTTGATCACTGTTTTTAGTACAAGGCACATTGGTAGAAATCTTAAACATAATATCTTGTTGCTGCCTTTTTCTTTCTTTTTTTGGGGGGGTGGGGTGGGGGTGGGGGGATACCAGTGGAGTTTACATGCATTTGCTGTGGATGGTGGCAAAAAAGTTTTGTTATTCCTGTTGTGCTTCCTTTCTATTCCTCCCTCTCTGTTTTACCCCCCACACCCCAGTTTCCTAGTAAAGGATTCAGGAATCCTAGTCCTGTGCCAGTCTGTAATGTAACAGCCAAACAATTCCTATAGTATCTTACCTTTTTGCTCAAAATCAAACCAGGTCCTAATAGATACCAGCACACATATTGAATTCCCTTTAAAAGAGTGGAATTTATGAATAACAATTGCAACACAATAACAGTAACCAGTGCCCTGAGGACTGTGATATTCACTGTGCTCTAAAATAGATTTACTGCCCTAAGCAAAAAGTTTTCAGAATGTATACTTTATAAAGTGTTTAAAAAAAAATGTGAGAGTTATTATGAAAGCTGAACAAAGATAAAAAATGAAAACGGCATGCAATTGAAAAAGTAGTAAAGTTAGATGTATTAAATTTTGTAAACACCAGAAATGATAAGGTGGACATTTGAGTCAGTAGAAGACAAGGTTGAGAAATGCTCCTAGACCAGGACAAGAATGGAGAGATGAAAATAAGGATGATTCAGTTTAATTTCTGTCAATTAAATGGAATACTTGGCTCTGTATGGAACTGTGTTTACAGTGATAAAATAGAAAAAGTCTGTGTCTTCTTAAAGTTTATTTTCTTGCAAAAAGCACAATCATGTAACACTGTGAAAAATGTGATAGGAATACAAGAGTACCACCTGGTCTGGGGGACGGGTGGAAGTCTCAGCCTTCCTGAGGAAGTAATGTCTAAATTGAGACTGAATGGGAGTGCAGCAGCTTAGTGGGGGTGTCATCTAGCTCATCATGTGGAGTCTCAGAAGTTGACCAAGGTTCATATGGAATATTTATGGGAATGAAACTGAGCGTGGCTATCTCCTAATTAATGGGAGATAAGACTAATGTAAACCAGTAAGCCACAGTTGTGGTTTTTATAGGTCTTATTAAAGGAGTCTGACTTGACCTATGAGCATAGAGGGATTTTGAATGGGAATATGTCATGATCATCAACAATCTATCAATATTTACATAGTTTGGAGGGGACTTGAGGGCAGGGAAACCCTTTAAAGAGGTGAAGGATGCTAGTGCTGCGTGCTACACTAGGAACATTGGGATAGAGAAAAAGGGGGAGATTTGAGAGGAAATATTGAAAGGATATGGAAATATATTGCATATGGTAGAAGGGAGAGAGGGGAGCCAAGAGTGACAGCCAGCTTTTGCATTTGGGTGAGGGTAGTACCATTCACTGATACAGTAATCACAAGACTAGGAGCAGTTTTGAGGGGGAAAAATCCATTTCTATTTGGAGCCTGTGGAGCTTAAGCTTAAGGTTGCTATAGTCCATTCTAGTTGAGTATGTGAATCTTAAACATGAGTGTAATCTGTTATAAAGTCAGGAATTATTAGTATACAAACGATAATCTGTATGTAGGCAGAAAAGAAGGCGGCTCAGGACAGAAACGGGGACAAGGAGAGAAAGAGGAGTCTGCAAAAGAGGATACATAATAAGATAAAAATCAAAAAGTTGTCCCTCTCAGTGGTTGGAGAAAAGGATGTTTCAAGAGACATGGCCAACAGTGTCACATGCTGCTGAGCAGCCCAATATGAAGTTAAATATAAATTAGGTATTTCAAAGAGGAAATGAAAGGAGTCTTTGAAGTAGGGAAAGAAGTAGAATTGGAATGAGGAAATGGATGCTCCAAGTATAGACCATGGGACGTTTGATGAGGAACGAATGGGGGAAACCATAGCTATAGGATCAGATTTAAAGTAGGGTTTCTTATTTTGATTTGTTTTCCCTTTTGGTGGGAGTAGTGTCAGTATTTTAAGAGGATAATGAGTCAGAAAATAGAATGCAGATAGGATTACTGAGGTCCTAGCTGGAGAAGAAGAAGAGAATCAAATGCCAGACAGGGAAATCGCCCCTTCACGTTAACATGAGGGGGAGAAATGCATGAATGTAAAATCAGATTTGTACCTGTTTTGTTTTTGTTTTTGTTTTTTGCCTGAAAGTTGATAATTGATATTATGTGCCTTATATTCCTTGTGAAGTCATCTATTCAGATCAAAGGGGGTGGGTGAGTTCAGAAAACTTAATTTTGTAAAGGAATAGGTAATAAATATTTTGCTCTTTGCTGGCCATTCTCTCCCTCACCTACTTAACTGTGCTATTATAGCCCAAAAGTAACCATAGCCAATACGTAAACACGTGATGTGGTCATGTTTCATTACAGTTATTTACAAAGCAGGCAGCGGGCTGGATTTGACTCTTGTGCCGCAGTATGCCATGTTGAAAGTTTTGAGGAGAGCAGAAGAGCTTTGAAATAACTAATGTGGAAAAGAAAACACTGCTAGCTAGATATGTAATAGATATGATGAAATTTATTCAAATGAATAACAATAAAACGTAAACCTTGTGAATGGGGAAATAGACGGTGTGGTGTAGCATATCTCAACATACCTACTTGCTAGCCAGGTGTAGAGGAAAAAGTGTTTTCAAGGGAACAAATGTGAAGGCTCAGGCTCAGCCATAAGAGGGGATGGTGATTCAATAACTAAAATTTAGTAGGGCTGAGAGGCAGTGATTTTTTGTTGATGTGGGGTGTGTGTGTGTGTGAGAGAGAGAGAGATCTTTATTGATGGAGGTAGAAATCCAAGTGAGAGAACTCATATAAGTGGGATTAGGTCAGGAACACCCTTTCAAGCTCTAAAATTGGTGAAATTGACTAAAACAAGGAAGAAATTGAAACAATTATCAAATAATTACCTCTGCAAAAGGCCTGGAAGTAAGACAGCTTTATATGGGAATTATTTCAAAAGTTCTAGGCATTGATAATTCCCATGATATGTAAATGGAAATGAATACTGAAAAATAAATACTTTTTAAAATTTCAAAATATTAAGGGGCGGACAAATGTTTTCGGTTGCATGGATAGTTTTTGTAATGCATGAATCCTGGCTATAGATGTGCCCATCACCCAAATAATGTTCATAGTACCCAGTATACTGGTTTATTCCCTCCCTTTTTCCCCCGATCCTGGTTGTTTTCCACTGAGTTTTACATTCCTCTGTGTGCACTTGTATGCTCATCAGTTAGTTTCAATTTAATAGTGAGTGCATGCTGTGTTTGTTTTTCTATTCTTGAGATAGGAGA